ATTCATTCAATGCTCACCGAGCTCCCGCCGCGCTCCTCCGCCGCCGCCGCGCCCCGATTGGCTGAGAGGGGCAGAGGAGGGCGGGGCTACGGCGCTACGTCATCGCCGCCAGGGCGGGMCCAGACGGGGGAAGGGGGAGAAGGACGTTCTGACGACAGCGTGACGTCATACCCCGCGCCATTTTAGCCCAAGTGGCGCTTGTGAAGGCCGGTTGTGCAAAATAGTGAGGGGTTTACCTCAGAAATATGTGGATTTGCCCTCAAAAAATGGAGAAATACTAGATTTCCTGCATGAGTGGTGCAAGGGATTGTGGCAGCCTGGATGCCGGGGCCCACCCTGCCTTGGGTGTCATTCTCTTGCAAACATAACCCCAGATCATCGAGATGGGCAGTCCTAAAGCAGGTTTAACTGTGGGGTAAAAATGTAGCAAAGCCTGTTTTCCTAAAAAAAAAATATATATATATATATATATATTTTAGGAAAACAGGCTTTGCTACATTTTATATATATATATATAAATGTGAAATTACTGCTTTACCTGTTTTTCGACTCCTCTTTGAATGCAACTGCTGAAAGGAAATTTTGTGATGATGGATCCTGGGGGAAGGGGATGGAGCCAGTAATTGGTGTGTTTTGCCACGCTCCAAAAAAACARCCCCCAAAACTTTTCACATAACCAATATGGGGAGATTTGTGGAAAATTGGTGACTTCTGTGGGATGGGTTTTTCTGAGAGCAAGGTTGCTCAATAACCAGAGCCAGGTGGAAAATTCCTCCAAGAAATTCATATGGAAACTCCTGAGCAGATGATTTTGTGAGAGCTAAAGTGAAATAAAGGCTTTTGGGGGAGAAGAGGGAGAGGGAGAGGGAGAAGGAGAGGGAGAGGGAGAGGGAGAGGGAGAGGAGAGGAGAGGAGAGGAGAGGAGAGGAGAGGAGAGGAGAGAAATAGAAGTTGATTGTGGAGAAGATGGCAGGAAGATGTCCTCCAAGATGATGATAATTATCTTTGTGATAATTTATGGCAGAAAATAAGGAATAAAATACTAGAATACTAAATTAGTATTAGGCATTTTAGGCATTACTAGGCATTTGCTTGTCTACTTGGAGACAAAAAAGAAAAATATGGAAAAAAAAACAGAAAAATCTTTACTTCCTTCACTGAGAGCATTTTTAACTTGTGTTTATGAGCATAAATTGGCCAAGGTGGAAGTATTGTGGCCTGGGGAACACTGTGGGTCACAACAGGTCTCCAGAAGATGGGCGGCATTTCAAAGCGACCCACAGAAATGTGAAATCCAGGTCAGAGGAGCTGTGTTGCCCCCGGGAAACGCTCCCAACGCAGCAAGGAACGAGTGCTCCGAGGGGAGCGTTCGAGGGTAAACATGAGTCAAGCACGAGTCATTTCTAAAGCAAAACCTGGCCAGCTCAGACACCGCACGCAGAAATGGCTCTGCTGGACAACTAGCACCCAGTGGGTTCAACCACCAGATATGCCCTGCATTTGGCAAATTTATTAAGTATTTAAAGAAATTCAATTCCTGCACTTTCTTGTACCTCATGCTCTGCTCATAGAACCTTGCCTGGAAAAAATAGCTTTTATTTTGCAGAGAGTGGTTGGATGTTATTCTCTGGAAAGCTCCCTGTGGTTGTCTGTGAGTGAGCGGATATTGCTCATCACTGTATTTCTATCAAATGAACCAAAAGTATAAAAATGACCACAGAGTGGCAAGCAAGATCATCCCAGACTTTATTTTATTTTATTTTATTTTATTTTATTTTATTTTATTTTATTTTATTTTATTTTATTTTATTTTATTTTATTTTATTTTATTTTATTTTATNTTATTTTATTTTATTTTATTTTATTTTATTTTATTTTATTTTATTTTATTTTATTTTATTTTATTTTATTTTATTTTATTTTATTTTATTTTATTCTATTTTATTGTCCCTAGCAGCAGCTGTTTTCCCATAAAACTCCCGCAGACCTCTGAGCTCTGCAGCTCAAGGACTTTCTGAACCAGACGTGGTGTCTTTGCAGTCCATGTATTTATAGCCACCTTTCATTAATGTATTTCCCACGAACTCATCCAGATACTTTTGAAACTCGTGTTAATTTTAGCATCTATACTGGACACTGCGCTTGCGGCAAGCATAATTTTGTGTTAATAAGCTCTCCCTAAACTATTATGCAACAACTCCCAACCAGCCTGCCAAGGGGTGGAATTCATCAACGGGAGGGAAGAAAAAACCACAAAACTTTCATAAACATCTAGGTGCCAAGGCTAATCTTATCTCAAAGCCTTTGTTCTTCAAGATTGCTGGGAGTGTTAATGTTGTTTGTGCTTCTGTGAGAGATAAAAGTGCTTGGGATAAGAGAGGGGGGRAAAAAGTGGTTTGGTTGCTGTAAAATACAGCTCAGCAGCAATGAGGCGGAGGAGACTGGAGCTGTGGCAAGTCTTTGTGGGACTTGTTGTCCCCTTCCTACTCGCTGTAGGAAATCRGGAGACTTGAGATTAGCCTAGGAAGGAGGATTCAAGTCTGTAARACAGAAGTGTGTCCCCATCTGTGGTTTTTACCCGTCAATGAAGTTAATGATATATCAAACACGATGTCCTGTTTTCCAGCAGCTTGTCTCTCTTGTCCTTCAGAAGGCTTCCTCCTAAAACACGTAGTCACAGTGTTGTACATAGGAGAAATCATTTATTCCAGTGATGAAGACCTTTTGAAGACCTTTTACATGRGAAAGACATGGGAATGGCCAGGTTTTCCCAGCTCACCAGCCTCCCTGCCAGCAATTTCAGAAATCACCTACTCCTTTAGCTGCAAACAGCACGGGAATCTTGATTTAGGAATGGGATTCCCATATCCTGCTGTACTCACTTCGTGGGAGAAAAAAACCAGGACACTGCTAAGACAAGTCCTAGAAAGCGTGACACAAGATCAGATTTAAATGCAGATACTTCGTACAAATCGCCCCGGGCTCCGTAATCCCTCCTGGCTGCTCATGAAGAATTTCCTGCTCTTTGCAGCTTTACCGTTTGTCTAGGAAATCAAGGTGGGGAGATCAGGAACATCGGGACTACGTGGAGCCAAGGTCATGWCGCTGGGTTTCCACCGATGAAGGTCCCCTCTCTATGGAGACGTTGTGCCAATGTCCCAAGAAACACACAGCTGCGGTGTTAATCACATTGCTTGGGGGAGTGCCTGCCTATCAGCCCCGGCACGTGGGATTGCCCTTCGTGACAAGAA